AAATGATACCACAAACTTCCCCAAAGATCAATTAGAACTAGAATTCAGCAGTTTCTCAAATTTTCAGTATAGGAAGTGGTGAGGTATAGGAATGACTAAAAATCTGAAACATTTTTTCCCTTAAATGTGCTTGGCTATCAACAAAGACTATTGAATAAAATTCATATTTCAAGTTATAATTAAAATCCAATTTCCAGAGTCTTTTGCTAGAACTATTAACACGCATCTAAACTGATGAGTTCAATTCTTTTCTCCTCTATATTTTTGGCCTGCCAAAAAATGCTAAAAAAAAAAGGTGCTAATGGCTTGAGAAATGGTTAAAATATAGATACCACCCAAAAAACATGAGAAGAGTCCACAAACTAGCACTCTCTGAATAAGTCAATATACTTGGGGTTAACTGAGAAAAATTTCATTTTAAGATATGATACAAAAAATAATTTCATACAGCTTTTTAAGCTAAAAAAAAAAAAATCCTTCAAGAATGTAACAAAGGATGACCATAGTCCAGAACACCATGCCTCAGCAGGCAGGCCATTTAACCTGGGTGGTCTGCTCAAACTAAGCTGTCACTATGTGCCTTGGAGAAGAAGTGCGCTCAGTGTGACAGGCTGTAACTGCCAGCACCATGCTGCTAAAGCCACAAGATCATCTCAGGGTGTGCAGCGTGGATTCTACGTCCTCCCCTACTCTCATTTTCTAACCTACCCATTTGGTTATTCATTTTTACTTTCCCTAAAGATGTTGATGTTATTAAAAATAAGCATGAGTTCACAGAACAGATAGCCATGGAACACTGTAATTCTCTCATTATACCTGCACAATTTAATTATAATGAATTCTAGAAAGCTTGTTTCCAAAGGGCAAGAGAAAGAAATAAAGCAGTTCTTAAGTCCAGAATCTCCGGTGAGTTTTCAAGGGATAGACAGTGCTCTTATATGCAGTCACACCATGGACCAGACAGTACCCTGAGGTCCTGCAGGCTTTCTCTCCTTACCCATCCTTTTCTTCCTCAGCCTCTCTTTCTCCTCCCTTCTGCTTTCCATGTATATATGTATGTATGTATTGAGTCTTCTATTGCTATTTATTTCTTCTCTTCCTCCTTTTCTTTCCTACCTAGAAATGCCTGCCACAGGCCGTACTGCCTATGATAGGGAAAAGAAAAAGAAAAATATTAACTTTACTGCCACTGTGTCCCATCATCTTCTTGGAGTTTTTCACATGCTATATGATTTGACCTGAAAGTAATTTGAAGGTTTGGGTAAATTTTCTGGACAAATACAGTGCTTAAAGACAAATCACCTAAAAAACAATTATTTATTTATGGTAGAAAAGGAGCTGTAGACATCTTACTACATGGATTCCTTATCTCCCCACCTCCTATTTGCTTAAAACATCCACAACAATCAGATAGTTTCACTATGAAGAACAACTGTGTATTAGTCTGTTTTCATGCTGCTTATAAAGACATACCCAAAGCTAGACAATTTACAAAAGAAAGAGTTTCAATGGACTTACAATTCCACGTGGCTGGGGAGGCCTCACAGTGATGGTGGAAGGCAAGGAGGAACAAGTCACATCTTACATGGATGGCAGCAGGCAAAGAGAGAGAGCTTGTGCAGGGAAACACCCATTTTTAAAACCATCAGATCTTACGAGACTTACTATCACAAGAACAGCATAAGAAAGACCTGCCCCCATGATTCAACTACCTCCTACCAGGTCCTTCCCACCACACAAGGGAATTCAAGATGAGATCTGGTAGGGACACAGCCAAACCATATCAAACGGTTTTGTAGTATTATTCAGGATTATTTTGGAAAGTTTGTTGCAACTAGTTATCAATACTTCAAAGATATGGAAATTGCTTCATTACGCAAGCAAGGTCTTTGTAATGGCATTTGTTTAAAATAGAAGGATGAAATACATAGGTAAAGCATGACAATTGCTTCAAGATAATGCAAAAGGATATATAAAATTCCTCAAGCTGTAGACATGATTGTGGATTTGTGCACTTTTCTATATGTACATTAGACTTCAATAAAATGTTTGCATATAAAAAAAGGGAAAGAGAGTAATGAGCATTTTAATTAAAACCAAATTGTCCCTGAGTTGACAACTGTTGAAGTTGGATGAAAAGAATTATTCTATTCTTGTATGTGCTTGTAATTTTTCATAATGAAAGATATTTTAAAATTTTACCTAAAACCTAAGAAACTCAAGCACATACAAGATTCAGAAGCATGGTATAAAAGCAGAACATCCTTTAAAGCTAGATTCGGATGCAAAATATAGTGCATTAAAAATGAAGAATCGAAGTTTCTGTTTAATTTTGCTGAAAGTGACTAATTTTTCATGAAAAATTCTTGGCATAATTACAAAGGAGGACTCTACAAACTAAGATATAGAGGTGTTCTAAGTCTGGTGGAAATGTTTTTATATTTTGTAGTACACTAAATTTAAGATTTTAAATAAGAGAAAGATTTTAAAAATCTAATGCTCCCCTAAAAACACTGTAAATGAGTTGGTTCTGATACAAGCAAAACTATGAGTTCTAGTACATCATATGAACTATGTCTGGATATTAATCCAACTTTCTTCATTCTCTCCCCAGGCACTGACCCTCCTCCTATCATTAGCTGTCAGTAACATTTACCAAGCACTATAGAGACAACTGGCAGCCCAGATATAATAACATATAAGATATAATGTTGAACAGTGATTGTTTCAGCAGCAAAAAATACCTGAAAATACAAAAGCCTTCTTGGTTTTCCTAATAGAAGTCACTTAGAGCAGGTGCATTAAATCTAGCAGTTAATGAAGTCTGAATTTAGAAGTAATATTTTCTACTTAATTGAACAGAATTGGTTGCATTGGAATACACTAATAAATTCATATTTGTCTTTGGTTTTTCATAAAATGCTTCATTCTACTCAAAAAGGCTGCATGAACATTGTTACACATTACAGGCATTCCCCAACTTATAGAAGGGTTGTATTCTAAAAGCTCATCTGTAAATCAGCTTCCTAGAACTCAGATCACATTTTTTCACGAAATAATTTTCTAAAGGGCAGTTAGGCCATCAGGCCACCCCACAGAAATCAATAAAGTCTAAATTTATTGAACCTAATGTGCTTTAGTGAAGAACTTTATTTTTGTTTTTTCAACTAACCACTTTGAACCATTATTTATTTGGTAAATGAAACAGGGATTCTAGGACTACTACTCTCCAATGCTCTCTGCAGAGACACACATACGTATGCACACGTATATACCCTTACCTAGATCTATGTACCAAAAGCTTCCTTACTCCTCAGAGTAAGCACACCGAAACAGAGTTTAGACAAAGGGCTCTTGCATTTGAAGGGTGGGGGAGGTTGCAGTTCTAGAGCCTATTAAAGGAGCAGTGAACATAGAAGCTTCCATAGGAACTATTCCTATTGAGTCTCATAGATGCTAAGCAGAGTCTTACAGGCAGTTGGTGGATTTTAACTTCTACCAGTATCTACCCAAAGGAAAAGAAATCATTATATCAAAAAGACACCTGAATGTGTATGTTTATCACAGTGCAATTCACAATTACAAAGACATAGAATCAACCTAAGTGCCCAACAGCCAATGAGTGGATAAAGAAAATGTTATATATATATACACATATATATACACATACATATATACATATATATGCACGCATACATACATGTATATTTATATATACATATGCGTATATACATGTGTGTGTGTGTGTGTGTGTGTGTGTGTGTGGGCGTGTGTGTGTCTTTATGATAGAATACTATTCTGCCATAAAAAGAAATAATTTCTTTTGCAGCAACTTGGATGGAAAACGAGGGCATTATTCTAAGTGAAGTAACTCAGGAATGGAAAGCCAAATACTATATGTTCACACTTATAAGTGGGAGCTAAGCTATCAGTATCAAAGGCAGACAGAGTGGTATAATGGACATGGAAGTCTCAGAAGTGGGGAGGTTGGGAAGACCGGTGAAGGATGAAAAACTACCGGTTAGGGAACAATGTCTACTACTCAGGTGACGGGTACATTAAAATCCCAGACTTCGTGACTATACAATTCATCCATGTAACCAAAAACCACTTGTACTCCTAAAGCTACTGAAATAAAAAAAAAGAATTTAACAATTAAATAAAAGCACAAAGAAACTTAAAAAGAAAATAAATATCCTAATAATCACTTTTAATACATATTTTTTAATGCTTATAAACTCAAATAAAATACAGATTACATTTGTGACCTTTAGGTACATCCAAAGCTATAACAATCTTCCCTCCCCAACTGCAGAGATGAGGGGCCTGAAGGGCCCGAAAGCAGCTAAAGTGAGGGCTCCTTGATAATAGCAATAGGCCCTCCCTCCGCCACAGGGAGATGCCAGCAGTAGGCCATGGAACTGGCGTGCAAGGAGTGGGCTGCTTCTATTGGTGGTCTACTTTTCTACTCCACCAAACGTATCTACATTTCACTGCTTTGAAGATTTTTTAAGCCACAAAATTGTATTCATGGATGCCAAAAAAAAAAGAATGTAAAAGTCAGTGCTAAAATAACTTAATTTCACATGCATACACTTTCTCATATGCCTATTCATTTAACAATTTGAGAGAAAAATACACACAGCTATTCTTCTTGAACCCTAAAGGCAGAGTTACAATGAGCCAAGACTGCACCACCACACTCCAGCCTGGGTGACAGAGCAAGACTCTGCCTCAAAAAAAATACAAAAACAAAAACAAAAAACCAGCTATTCTATTATTCAGGCCCAATCCCAATGTATAGTTGCTTGTTTTTTAAGTTCAGAATTTTATGAGTATGCTTCAATTATATAGTGTTACCATTATAAGATTTTAAGTGTATTTTTATAAAGCCCAGATCCAGATATATGACATGACTTTCCAGAGACCACTGTGGAATCATATCAAAAATCAAGAGTTCCAGTTTCCTCCCCAATTCAGCTGAGGTCTACTCCACTTGCCTGCATAGGTATTGGCCTTGTTCAGAAGGTCGGTACATGCATGCATATCAGCAAAAGCCCGGATTCCTAAGCAGTTGACAGGGTGAAGCTGGGATTCCAAAAATTCACAGCAGGTCTTCTTCACATCCTGTAACTGTAAGAGACCAGCTGCTGGAAGAAGTACCTGCAACACACACATCAATATTCTTAGAAAGCTGGCTGGAAAAACACCGGCTATTTGACCACTTCTACAAGAGGGCACAAGAGGTTCAGCTATAGTTTATAATCTGCATCCATACCCCTATATTCCACATAAACCAAAAGTAACAATTATTTTGAAAAAAGATGATGACTCTTCACATTCTTCATAATTTCCATGGAATCTTTCAAAGGTCTCTTCTCCTTGGTCAGAAGAATATGAGATATCAGATCTTGTCAGATTAATGGTTTGTTATATAAGCATAAACAAATTGTTGCTTTGATTTCTAAAAACACAAATTATTGGCTGGGCATGGTAACTCACACCTTTAATCCCAGCACTTTGGGAGGCCAAGACAGGAAGATCGCTTGAGTTCAGGAGTTTGAGACATGCCTGGGCAACAAGGCGAGACCTCATCTCTACAAAAAAATACAAAAATTAGCCTGGTGTGGTGGCATGCACCTGTAGTGCCAGCTACTTGAGCCCGGGAGGTTGAGTCTGCAGTAAGCTGTGATCACCCCACAGCATTCCATCCTGGGTGAAAGAGTGAGAGACCCTATCTTAAAAAAACAAAACAAAACAGAAAAACATAAATTATTAGGATGCTAGCGGGTGCTATGATTCAATAAAAATGGTTTTGTTTTCTTAGTTCAAGCAATCATGAGCTTCAGTGATTTGTGGGGAAGGGGTGGCCCCAGAGTAACCCATACCACATCAAAGCCTCATTTTGCTGAAGCCCTGTTTTTCCACTGTTTCAGTAACATACAACTGCTTTCCTTACCGGGTAAAACAATTTAAAATTCAACAACTGTCTCTACCTATAGGCAGACAGTTTCTCTAGAATGCAATATATGTGCTAACAAGGAAAATGTAATAGGTGATTATCTAATAACTTTTTAATTTGTATTTTTATTTGAATAATGCCAAGCAATTTTACATTAATTACAGGTTATTCTGTGGGATTGAACCACTATCCTCAATATAAATACTACATCCAACACTACAAGTGCTTTTCAAGAAAGTCAATAATAGAAACATTTTTCCTTGTAAGTGAATTATTACAGTGCTATATAAAGGACCATATTTGAAAGTCAAATTAAGGAAGAAAAACTTCAAAAAAAAAAGTTATTGAATATCTGGTGATCCTTTATGAAAGCCAAGCAAACTCCACAAAACACCTTCAACTATTAGAACGGTAAATTTTAGAAAAGATCATATTAGCATAAAAAAGACATAAGTTCCTTCAGAAACTGACTTTCATACATGCCACACTGCAGCCCAAATAACAGTGGTTTATGACTACATGTTATGACTTTCCCAAATCTATGTGGTAAGTCCTAAACATAGAAAAGAAAGACATCATTCATAACTCTCTGTAACAAACTTCTCATTTTCTTAAAGGAAGCAAAGAAGCTTTAACTCCTGAACCTTAAGGCTCAAGGAAAAATAGAAACATTATCTAGACGTAAGGCCTTTTCCTTCTGAGTTTAAAAAAAAAAGGTCAAGCGTGGTGGTTCATGTTAATCCCAGCACTTTGGGAAGCCAAGGCAGGCAGATCACTTGAGGTCAGGAGTTTGAGACTAGCCTGGCCAACATGGTGAAATCCATCTCTACTGAAAATACAAAAATTAGCCGGGCATGTGGTGCACACCTGTAGTCTCCGCTACTCAGGAGGCTGAGGAAGGATAATCACTTGAATCCAGGAGGCAGAGGTCGCAGTGGGCCGAGATCATGCCACTGCACTCTGGCCTGGGTGACAGTGCGAGACTCCATCTCAAAAAAAATAAAAAAAGAAAAGAAAGTATAAATAATGTTATAGCCAAACTTTTTGCATGATATGTATAGTAGGTTTCATTACGAGAATGAATATCCACAGAAGGCTTTAATTTGTTGATAATATTCAAATTGTAGGTTTTTCTAAGGCAGTGTAATTGCTCTCTGAAGCAACATAAAGTGTGTTCCAAGATGCTTAACAGTACAGCCATTTAATTCAGCAAATGCATATAGTTTAGAAAGTGGTCTTCAGTGTAATATTCAATCTCTATGAAATATGCACCATACTATGATCACCCCTCTAATTAGCATTTTCCTAGAGGAAACAGTGTACTATTTAAATTGTTTGGTCACACAGAAAGATCAGGAAAAAGTGGTTGGGGAGAAAACAGGCTCACTTACACAGTTGGCAGGAGCACATATTGGTCCAACCTCCATGAAAACAATTTGTTTATTTCAAATTCAAAATTACAAATGCACATATACTCTGACCCAGAAATTTAAACTACAAATATGCTAACATATGCACAAAATCTCCATGTGCAAGATAATCATTATAGCATTATCATGGGTAACAGAAGTTAGAAAAAAGCCTAAATGTCCATCAGAAGGAGATTGGTTAAATAATTGTAATCAACTATTCTATTGCAGTCATTCAAAAGAAAGAAGAAACTATATAAATGAGAGAATTTCTAAAATACATTCTGGAGTAAAAAAAAAAAAAAATCAGTCATTGGTATATTATGCTAACACATACACCCACACTTATATATATATATTTGTAACAGGCTTTTTAAATTTTATTTTGCTTTATTGAATGCAACTTAATCATTACCAAGGCCATCTCTACCTTATTAGAAGACCAAAACTCATAAAATTATAGATTCTCCTATCTGGAAGGGGTATAACAAGTCATCTAGTTAACAATATAAAAGTTATTTCAACAACGGTCCATGTGGCTGGATTATATGCACATATAATTTTTATTGATGGCAGTGATAAGTGGTTCCATGCTTGATAAATATATATTAAACATAAAATAAATGTGAGTCAAATGTATAAAAAGTTTATCCATATTTTTCTTTGTCAGTAAATCTTTTGAAATTGCCTTGGTTTTATGATGCAGTTTTACTAGGACTAAACTTCAATAGCTCATAATTATGTAATTAATTATATACAGCTTCAAATGCAATTACTAATTGACCCAGCTTGCTAACAAGACGCCTGGTGACCATCAGTCACTCATAATGAAAATAGGAGAACAGCCGGAGCCACATCAACTCCTAGCTTATGTTGTGTGTCAAAAAGCCACTTAAAACAAAACAAAATTTAAAATGCTCTGACTTCAGATGAACCACATCCCATGATCAGAACCACTCAGACAGCTGGTACCCTGCAAGCTGAATGTCTTGAGATCAAATCAAATCAAATCTCCTAATTTGTGTGATGAAGAAACCACACCCTAAAAGGGTTAAATGGTTTCCTAACCATGAACATGGAATGTTTCTCCATCTGTTTGTGTCCTCTCTTATTTTGTTGAGCAGTAGCTTGTAGTTCTCCTTGAAGAGGTCCTTTATGTTCCATGTTAGTTGTATTCCTAGGTATTTTATTCTCTTTGTAGCAATTGTGAATGGCAGTTCGTTTTTGATTTAGCTCTAAGTCTGTTACTGGTGTACAGGAATTCTTGTGATTTTTGCACATTGATTTTGTATCCTGAGACTTTGCTGAAGTTGCTTATCAGTTTCAGGAGATTTTGGGCTGAGACGATGGGTCTTCTGGATATACAATCAGGAAAATCGTGAAAATGGCCATACTGCCCAAAGTAATTTACAGATTCAATGCTATCCCCATCAAGCTACCAATGACCTTCTTCACAGAGCTGGAAAAAAACACCTTAAACTCCATATGGAACCAAAAGAGAGCCCACATAGCCAAGTCAATTCTAAGCAAAAAGAACAAAGCAGGAGGCATCACACTACTGGACTTCAAACTATACTACAAGGCTACAGTAATCAAAACAGCATGGTACTGGTACCAAAACAGAGATATAGACCAATGAAACAGAACAGAGGCCTCGAAGCAACACAACATATCTACAAGCATCCAATCTTTGACAAACCTGACAAAAACAAGCAATGGGAAAAGGATTCCCTGTTTAATAAATGGTGTTGGGAAAGCTGGCTAGCCATGTGCAGAAAGCAGAAACTGGACCCCTTCCTGACACCTTACACTAAAATTAACTCCAGATGGATTAAAGACTTAAACATAAGACCTAACACCATAAAAAGCCTAGAAGAAAATCTAGGCAAAACCATTCAGGACATAGGCATAGGCAAGGACTTCATGACCAAAACACCAAAAGCATTGGCAACATAAGCCAAAACAGACAAATGGGACCTAATCAAACGCCACAGCTTCTGCATGGCAAAAGCAACAGCCATTAGAATGAATCGGCAACCAACAGAATGGGAAAAAATTTTTACAGTCTACCCATCTGACAAAGGGCTGATATCCAGAATTTACAAGGAACTAAAACAGATTTACAAGTAGAAAACAAACAAGCCCATTCAAAAGTGGGCAAAGGATATGAACAGACACTTTACAAAAGAAGACATATGTGAGGCCAACAAACGTGGAAAAATGCTCATCATCACTGGTCATTAGAGAAATGCAAATCAAAACTACATTAAGATACCATCTCACACCCGTTAGAATGGCAGTCATTAAAAAATCTGGAGACAACAGATGCTGGAGAAGATGTGGAGAAATAGAACACTTTTACACTGTTGGTGGGAGTGTAAATTAGTTCAACCATTGTGGAAGACAGTGTGGCAATTCCTCAAGGACCTAGAAATAGAAATTCCATTTGACCCAGCAATCCCATTACTGGGTATATATCCAAAGGATTATAAATCATTCTACTCTAAGGACACGTGCACACGAATGTTCATTGCAGCACTGTTCACAATAGCAAACACCTGAAACCAACCCAAATGCCCATCAATGATAGACTGGACAGGGAAAATGTGGCACATATACACCATGGAATATTATGCAGCCATCAAAAACGATGAGTTGGTGTCCTTTGTAGGGACATGGATGAACCTGGAAACCATCATTGTCAGCAAACTGACACAAGAGCAGAAAATCAAACACCGCATGTTCTCACTCATAGGCGGGTGTTGAACAATGAGAACACATGGACATAGGGA